GAAGTAAGTAGGATAGGCATGAGGAAGCATTGATAAATTTCCGTATATATTCCGTACGGGATGGTGATTACGAAGTCTATTACCACGAGGATTGCGTATGTTCCCAAAACGGCGTACTTGAACCTACTAACAAGACCCTCTCGCTCGCACGGACAGCAAGAGTTGAACCCCTCTCCTTCATATTTCCACATCCACATTCGGCCTAGACGTTTGAACCCCTCCATCTTGCATCCCACTCCATGAAACTTGAAGGAGAATACGTAGCCCGGGATGGCATGATACTGTACGGAGTACGTATCCTTTCTAAGAAAGAGAAAGGAGGGCATTGAGAACTGCACTTGAGGGAATTACACGATGGCGAAATTGGCTTTTTCCATCTTCTGTCATGATGCATTGGAATGGTTGCCAAGTACTTCGTAGTTGGAGCTTACTGTAGTTGATAGCTTGGAATACGTCAGGATTGACTACTTGATGGTCTGCATGAGCTACCGAGAGCATGGTTCCTAATGGATCATTGGCGATGTCTCGATGCTTCCTATTGTATGGAGGTAAGGGAAGATGTCGAAGAAGTCTTGATTTCTACCTACCGCAGAACTTCATAAGAACGTAAGCTTTTAGCGAGAGGACGAATGTCGTCAAGTGCATAATACTCTTCGATATACTCTCCCGCCTTGGTTCAAAGACTTATGTTCTGTATGTATTACCACCAGAAAAATAACCTTTTCCTTAAGAGAGGGGATAGTAGAATGCGATAGGCCTCGATTCGTCGACCTACAACGTACTAGTATCATGCTCAGGAGACACTACTGTACCTCGACCTACAACGTACTAGTATCATGCTCAGGAGACACTACTGTACCTCGACGCAAGTTCCGTACCCCGCATCCTTAATTCGGAAGTTCTTCAAAGTATAAAGGTAAACGTGCACGCCTAGTGCAGTGGGTGGACTGGCTATAGAACAGGGGAGTGGAGTGGTTATGTGTACTATTAAGCAAATTCTCAGCGTCCTTCGGGACACTTGGTGCAGCAGCAATACAAACATCATTCCAATTCTCACTTTCTCTAGTGCAAATCCACGTACAGTATCCTACAGTAGATTGCCACTTGCTCAACCTAAAGTTTCGCGATTAGGTTCTCCTAACGCCAGTGGCCAGCCTCAAGACTCCTTCTATATAGTTTGACACTTTAGCTATACAGTTTGACAGCTAACCCGTTTAGAATTTTTTTCGTTCCGAGCATCCCACCTGTCGGAGTACTCAAAATACAGAAGTGGCTTTATCTACTCAGGCCGATTAGGGCTAGGGCTAGGGCTCGGAGTCAGGGTTAGCGGAACGTGAACCGCTACTACCGACGCTAATAAGCTCTCACCTACCCCCTTAGGAACCCAAGGGGCTTAGGGTTAGGCAACTCGTTTGGTAGTACACCTAAGTACTCGACGCGTTTCCGACTTACACCCAAAATACCACTAAAGTAGAAATACCGAGCCAGGCCACCGGAATATACGGAACGCCACTTTCACATGAACAGGTTAGCTGTTAAACTATATACAGTAGCTAAAATGTTAACCTGTATAGGAGGAGTCCAGCCTCAAAGGCAGTTAATTGACTTTGATGGCACCAGGACTAGGATACTCATCTAGTCCCGATCTACTGTACTAGAGTACCGTAGTCCCAACTTAAAAGAAATTGAGTTTCTGAATCCACGTGCCTTTTCCGATTGGGGATTGGAGGTGGATCGGAAACTTAGGTCTAGTACTCGTACTAGTACGTGATTTGCCATCTCGTTACTAGTCCTAGAAAAATCGGAATCGGAACTGCTGAATATAGACGAGAATTACCTCGAAGACTCGTATAAGATACGCTGGATAAAAGAAGAGGAGGGCAAAATACCCATGGATAAAAAAACAATATTAACAAAAGCCGAAAAATACTTTGAGCTTCATAAGATTACTCGTATTGAAGTATAATTCCCATCCAGGAATTTACGGAAATTGGAATTTTGTCTTCGATATATACGTGTACAATACCGAACTTGAAAGCCTGTATTCTAGATAGGAAATCAGGCCGTCACGCCGTGGTGATAGTATCCAGAATATCGTTTCCCGCTGAAATTAGAAGAATTAAGGAATTTTTATGAGTAGATAGCCTAGCCTAACACCAAACTTCGCATCCAGATACCCATCGCGTCATCTTAAGAAAGTTACAACATATACAGAGCTCCGGTGGAGTGGCCTCGAGAGACTCTTATCTCACTACCGTAGTCGACTTCCTTTTCCATCTACTCTAGTAGCAAGCAAGTGGACGATCTACTGTAGATAAGAAGCACTCACAAACTCAAACTCAAACCCGATCCAGCCTCCGAAAAGGTTATAAAAAAAAGTCAGAAAGCGTTCGTCCGGTTTCCCCGTACCGTGTCTACGGTACCGGTCCCAGATCCTACCAGTAGGATACTCGTATGAACATTACCATAACGCCACGATCGTCCTGCTGGAGTGGGTGGACTGAACTGGAACTCAAGGGGCATGTTTGTAGTCAAGAACAAGCCAGCGGCGTGTGTACTTCGGGGCTGGGTAACTTAGTGGAGCACAATATGACTTTATCCATACATTTCTCTGCTGGGAGGTGGAGGGGAAAAGGAAGATGGATACGAGTAGAGGGCTGTAAAAACAAGCGAGGTGGAGTTTTTGCGGTGCTTGAATGGAGTGAAAGAGAGGGAATTTGGAGTGCGATGAGTGGCATTGAGGAGATAGGAAAATCGATAGGATATCGTTTCGCGTGAAAGTGTAGAAGCGAGCAGTGGCTTGATCGAAGGAAGGTTAGTGAAATAAATTCTTGTGGCCGCAAGAAAGATGTTGAGAATGAACAAGCCACCCAGCAGCATGTGTGAACCAGTCCATGAGAATGAATCGAAATATCGAAGCCTGAAAGCCTTTCTATGCATAGATCAAGGAGAAGAAAGACCACCCCAAAAGTTGCATTTCCAAGACCCAGTCTCCAAAAGAAAAGCAACCGCGTCTCCAACTCCAAGCTCCAAGCTCCATTCCACCCCATGCCACCCCACCATCGCTTCCCCTCGCGTACCCCTCCTTAATGAGCTCACCTATACAGTATTACCACCGCCACCTATAGCAACCTCCTCCTCCGATCCCCTCAACGACAATAACAAAAAGCCCCGTTATTTCCACCAAGAAGAAAAAAAAGAGACGTCCGGGCCCAATATCGTTCTTGAATCACACCCGTTACCAATTAAACCATCCACACAAACGTATACGCATCGTATCATTCGTCATGAGGACCCGCAAGAAGCCTTGGTCAATACTTAATGGTGATGGAGGAAAGCAAAAGCCCGGACGGGGATCAAGCACTTCACTCCTTCCGCCTGGAGGTCCATGCTGCCACCCGTTCCGTTCCTTAGCACACGCCATACGAAAAGAGAACGCTTGAAAAAAGGGAAGGGAAGAAGAGGAAATCACCCAATTGGGTATTTAATCGACCATGGGTGCGGGGGGGATCATCTAGACCGGGTCCCCGGTCCCTAGCTTGATGTATGAGAGAAGTGGGGATGGGAAGGCCTTCATCTGATGTTTTCTGGATGCAAGCTCTGCAGCAGGCCAGCAGCGCCGAAGACTTGGGTGGCGGCCCAACGTGAACACGTCGGAAGGTCTCTTGAAGACTCCCCGTCAAAGTTTATTCAATCATCGGTCCCGGCCAAAATCCAGGTGGAGCAATTGACATCGTGAGATGTGGAGGGGACGACATATCAGGAAGTGGATGGTGATATCAAACCGTTTAGACATTCAGAAGCAGCAACACAGATGCGGTCCAAACCGCTGCGGTTCTGTCTGTACGGTGCGTACACGAAGCAATGCGGGCTCCAATAGATGTTAGTCACATGTTCTTACGATACCCCATCCTCATTATCATTGGGACGGTATCAGGAACTGCAGCATGTACGGAGTACTCGTAAATTTCTGGAGAAACCACTCGCCGGGACAAGATCCTTCGTGGGTAGAATGTAAAACATCATTTTCGTCTCGGTGCATGAAAATGTGATGGTTGACTGCAGGTTGACAGACCAACTGCTGGTGCATGGCGAAATTGATAGAAGTGCTTGTAAATGAGAATATACTTATCGCAACTAGGTTCGTGTGTGGGGAGAAGCGGACGGAATGATACTAGGTAGCTTTCAGCGAGTAGGTACGAGAGGCGATCATGTCTCGATTGGGGTTGGATAGAGATGTTGATCAGTGGGGAGAAACCGTTATTTCTCGCATAGTAAGATTGGAGGTTTGACTTTTGGGACTGAAGGATTTTTCGACTGTTGTGTCATTGCTCACTCAAGTCGTTTCCGATCGATGTACTCGGTAAAGTCGAGGGGAATTATTGACTCGAGAGACTTCAATGATAGCCTGAATAATGAATTTCTGATTGGACCGAGTGAGGTTGCAACTCCTTTTTTTCCATCTAAGCGAAGACAAGTGAAATGCACGGATTTGGACGTTTTTCAATGCACCGCTTGCCCACCAGCCGCTGTCATTGGTGCCAAGCTTACAAGAACCATTATTTGCATATGCACATTGGCACACTGGATGTGTGCCTTGAAGATGCAAGACGCACGTGTTGAAACTCGAAATGGACTTGGACTGGTTTTTGACACACAAGTGTTGCCGCCTCGGCTTTTTCACTTGCTGTGGATTGCCCAAGAAAAACGCTCTTTGCTGCACCCTTCATCATCGCCCTGTTTTGGGGCCGCAGGTCGGTAGCCCATTCTTTATCGCGCTGCATCGCGTCTGCACCTGCAGGTGCTTTCCAGGCCGAGACCCGAAAAGGGTGCCATGCTGAAAGTGGTGAGGATTTTCTAGAAGTGTTTTTCTGGGTTTGATCAACAGCCAGACGAGGTGGGATTGTCATTCGGATGGTCCGGCCATCTTTTGGCCTTGAAATGCTCCGGGGTCATTGTGCGCAGGTCCAACGGGACTTGCAGCGGCCAAGCAAGCCTCCATGCATATGACAGGGTACGCATTTGATACCCTTGACAGCTTGGAGTTTTGGAGTCGAGACTTGGACCGACCTTTCTCCACTCCGAAGGTACTCGGTATCCAGAGGTATCGCGATGTAAAATACCACAAGCTCTCGAGGACATACCCGAGATGCAGCTTCCAAACCGGAGGAGCAAGAGGATGTGAGATACGCTGTGTTCTACGTGTTCAACAGTGCCGTGGTGGGATCATTGATACCCAAGGGAACATCACGTTGCCGATTTGCGGAGGGAGCTGCCATGGAGATTGACAACAAGAAATTGCAGAATCGAGGAACGATCCCGCTGCAGAAGGTGGCATGAACGCCACCTCGAATCATTTGGAGGGGGGAGGAAGGGGACCGGAGAAAAGGTACCAAAGATGCACGCCATCCATCCATCACTTTGAGAATTGGTTGGATCGACACTTCTTTGGCCGCTCGTTGGTCGAGGAGGCGCCCATTCAACAGACACGACGTGGGAGAAAATGGGATTCGCCTATTCGAGCCGTTGTCGATGGCACATTTGCCATGCCGTGCTTCTGATGGTACTCACACTTGAGATTGAAGCCGTGAAAGGCTTGGGAGGTTGGAGGTCTCGGGCGCTATCCGGATCTGCTGCAATACATTGTGGACAACGACAGCGAAGCATCGCATAGGGAACTCTGGGAATGTCATAGCATCGCAGCACCTCAAATTTTCTCTGGGTGACATCGCAGTCCCCAAAAGGGCGCGTACAGCGTAGAGAAGACGAGGCGAGGCGTGCGGTGAGCAAGAGGGCTGGCTTGGATACCTACCATTGCCATTGTTCCTCGAACAAGCGCGTCTTTGGGCCGATCCGCATAACCTCTCGATATAGCGTATTTCCAGCCTCAAGGGATGTGACCTAGAATTCGTGCTGCAGTTGATGAGGAGCGACAGCGGGGCCATGGTGTGGCATGCAAAAGTGGTTGTGTGTTGGCGTGGTCTTGAGTGTGAATGAAGGATTTGGGTTATCATGACGAAGTACTTGTATATTCGTAGCGAATTGAAGACTCCAATGTCTCAGAGAGATGCAAGAAAGCTTGATAGAATCCACCCAAGACCAGCTGGCAAGCATGATCGTCATCGCAATGGCATCGCATGATATTTTGGAGCCAGATAATATAAAAGTATACATGTGTATATAAAATTATACATACTCGGTGTATATATATAATATAGAACTGCCGGGAGTTCCTGTTCATCTTCTGCTCAGTGCTGCCATGTGAGCAGTGGGGCAGACCACCATGCGGCTCTAGCGACCATTCAATGCAGTACAGTACCCTCCAAGAGGGCTACGGAGCACGGAGTACCTGTAGGTAAATTTACTATACTTCTTTCTATTAAAGTTACCACATATTAAAGTTACGTTCCAAAGTAGATTCACGAATACGGAGGTAAGCACTACCAGTGGCAAGACGGTACCAGTATCTGGTTCTTCAACCCAACTTTGGAATGAAAGGCTTCCTCAGATAGACAAAGTACAAATTATACTGCGTATGTAGCCTGAAATGGATGCGATGAACTGGCGAACTGGCCCAATGATGCCATTGAGGGACGGCATTGGCATTGGCACTGCCAAGATGGTTAGGTGGCATGGGGAAGGAAAGAGGAAGGGTTCGCATTCAGGGGTATTTAGTAGTGAATACAGTCACTACGTACAGCAGTAGTAGGTAGTGACGCTCCAGTCAAAGGACACCAGAAGGCAAGCTTTTGGGCCAGTACAGTGTAAAGAAGTAGTAAACATACAGTAGGGTCCACCTAAGTTGGTTAGGGAGTCTTGTCCTCTGGGCTCTGGGTGCTTATCTACCTAGGTAGGTGTACCTAGGCTAGGGTTGTGGTCTCCAAGCAAATGGACCACTCCTAGACCTGCCCCAATTGAGAGCAGCACGCTATAACATGCTCTGGTACTCTACAAACTGCCCCATCTTCATCCCTACTCGCCGACTAGCCGACTGGACTTGCCCCCAGCGGTTGCACCTGTAACTGCCACAGGTGAGGCAGGCACGACAGAACCTTAAGCTTCTTACCGTCTCCACTCACCAGCCAGAAAAGACCAAGATCTGCTGTAAATTTGGTATCAAACCTGAGAATTCTCCGTCCATGGTCAGTAGTTAATCTATTATTGCAGTCTTAGAGTCAGTCGCTGTCTGTGTCTCTACGGCGTCGTTATATCGTGTATGTGTATGTATGTGTATGTGTATGTGTGATGATCGGTGTCTTTTGGGTGCTCTGCTCGCAATTTTTGCATTACGCTTTACACTTTGGCTGAACCACAGATACACCTACGGACGCCTACGATACGACTTGTTTATCGCCCCCCAGAATCAAAACAACAACACCAACACCACCCACCTCCTTCCCCACTTGTCCCGTTCATTAGCACCACCCATCACCACCCGTCACATGACGACACTCACATCACGACACTCGCATCACTGAAAGCGACAGCAACTCTAACCCACCGACGCAACGACGACAACAGAGATCACCACTACCACCACCACTACCACTACCACTACCACTACCACTACCACTACCACCACCACAATTTCCAGTTTCCAGTTCCCAGTCAGTCCCCAGTCCAGTCCCCAGTCCCAATTCCCAATTTCAACCGCCTCCGCCAAACTGGAGTCCTGAACCTAAATCAAGCCCTCCTCCCTCAAGTCGGCAGATGCCCTTGCATTCTTCCACCCACCACAGACAACCCGGTGCCCTGTCCGTGCCTGTCCGTCCCCTTAGACTTCCCCTTCATCGTATCCCGGAGGTCCAAGCAATTTCACCGCCCTGTCTCCAGCCTGTCCAGCCTGTCTAAACAGCCCTGCCACCCCTGCCCTGCCACCAAGCTCGCACCGGAAGAGCTTCCTCCAACACGCGAAAACCAACTGACAGACGGGTGGACTGGTGGACCCTTGCCTAGAGGACAAGCCGCATGCGTGCTGGGTCGGAACGGTCGTCTATCAACGTACGGAGGTACTTCACAGTACTCGGTACCCATTGATCTGCCTTCCTCCCACCTTGACCAGTAGTTCCTTTCACTTCTACATCTCTCACCCACTCAATTGGGTCCAATTCAGCTCCTCATCTTCCCTTTGGTTTCTAATACCTCACCCAAATCCTACCTCCGTCCTGATCAAGAATACGATTCGTAGGGACATCAAAAACCAGCTGCAAGAAAAAAAAAAGCACGTCTGCAGCTCCCGATTCTGCCAGTTTCACGCATTGGCATTGTCAGTGCTGCATCGTCACGAAAACCCATACCACCAGATATCCGAGACCGACGCATGGGCAATTTTCAACTCCGCTGAATTGCCTGACACATCAACCCACTCAGCCATTGTGGCCGATCTGACTCGGACTCAAAGCATAAAAAAAAGGCGCGTCTTTCTAGCCCCTGGAACAGTCCCAAAAGATATACCCAGCCCTTCCCTGTCAACAACTGGCTGCGAGACTTTCTCTAAGAAACCACATCACGATCGGCACAACAAGTCAATCGGCATTGCTGCTCCAGCCCTGCATGAGCAAGTCTCCCAGAGCCCTAGACCCAAATGGTATGTTACCATCACGCTTTGAGCATTCCTTCCCACCTCTCACCACTCCCACACTACATTCCTCCTACACTCACATCAACATATCCGATAGTAAAGTGCAATCAATATCTAATCGATAGCCTACCGCAGTTCCTTACTAGTCCTTCCTTCCAACTTACTTAGCAAGGGAGCCAAGTCATTCATAATTTACGATTGTTTGTTCTAAAGTACTTCACAACTGGTCGACCACAGCCTTGGGGCATTGAAGAAGATTCGTTTGAGAATCGGCTGAAATTGAAAAGACAGAGAGAGACCAGGAACACCCAACCAGTATTACAGTAGACAAGAACAAGCCAGCATCCTATGGTAGCAGTATAGGATGCCCATTATGGCGATGGCCGACGAACATCCTGAAAGATCAAGTGTTCATGTGGCACCTTTGACCATACACAAGGAGAGAACAACAAGTCGAACCTCAAATCGTTCACATCACTCCAGAAATATGTCCTCGAAGGGCAGCATTGGAACCGGTGTCTCGACGAATACCCAATCCCAAATCACTCCCCCAGCAACACCGAATGGCTCACAGGAAGATCTCAATCAACCAATGGCGCCTTCAAATCCTGTTTTCCACAATTTCTTGCGCGCCTTTTACCCGTTTCATCCCACATATACCATCTCAGATTCGACCGTGACGCTACCATTGAACGAAGGTGATGTGATCTTGGTACATTCGATACATACAAATGGCTGGGCAGATGGGACCCTGCTGGCGTCGGGCGCGAGAGGATGGCTACCAACGAACTATTGCGAGGCCTACGAACCGGACTCGATGCGAAATTTACTAAAAGCGCTATTACACTTTTGGGATTTGATGAGGAGTGGGTTGACATGCGATAGTGAAGTTTTTGGAAACCAAGAATTCCTGAGAGGAATTATAGCAGGCGTTCGATATCTACTAGTAGGTTTCGTCGAAGACGACTTGGAAAAGCAGTTTGTTGACCTCGAGGCAGGAAAAATCAAGTTGTTTAACGCGTGAATCGCCAGTCGTGCAAGGAAATGACGGGCTTCGAAAGAATCGCAAGGCTCTGTTATCAGATCTCTCTTCGCTCGTCAAGACAGGTAAGAGATTACAGGAATACACTGCTGGTCCTAGATACGCACAAACGGACCAGGACGACGTAAACAATACCATCGATGAAATGATACTGAAGGCCTTCAAAATCGTCACTCGCGGGGTTCGATTTCTGGATGTTTTGGACGAAGACCTGCGGTCGCGTCAACCGGTTCATCGGGTAATGGCAACCGTCGCTGAGGAAGCTTACAACCCACCAACGCCTCCCGCGGATTCAACGTCATTTGATGGTTCACAACATGGAGACCCTGCATACGGTGCAGCATCCCGCAGGATTTCGAGTCGCAGCTCGGCAAGCGGATTGTCCTCACTGGCATCCGAGGAGCAAACGAAGCGACTGTCAAACAAGCGCTTGTCAAGGCCAATTTCTGCTCAGCTCAAGAGGCAATCAACCATATCCCATCGTATGTCACTCGTGGCCTCTATACCCGCTGCTCAGCGACAGAACCTGGTTTCCGAGAAGCTGAACGCGAGCCACGATACATTCCTCTCATTCTTGGGTTCATTTATCGGACGGTTACACCTTCAGTCGCAATCGGCAGCGGAACTTCTCATATCGGTTCGACAGTCTGTCACGGCAGGACGAGAATTGCTCGTGGTGGTCGAGGCGGTTTGTGCACACGACCATCAGAGCGACGAAGCTTTAGAGGCCTCGCGAAATGCAATGTATGACCGTACCAACAAACTTGTGGTTGCGGCGCGTGATGTTATCAAGGCATCTGCCATTGAAGGGGAAGATGTGGTAATGCCCCAACAAAATGGTGGATTGCTTATGGCTGCAACAAGTTGTGTCAAGGCGGCAGGAGAGTGCGTGGCGAGGACGAAGTTTGTCATCGAGAGAATAGGAGATTTCGAATTTGAGCCTCAAAATGCGGGGCTTGGGATTGATATCTCGTCCATTGGCGTAGTGGTTGCGGAGAAGCCGGTTGAGGAACCCCAGGTAGAAATCCCACCGGAGCCCACCAGTCGGCCACCACCGCCGCCTCTCATCATCCCAAGCCATGAGAAACCTCTTCCTGACCTTCCGGAGAAGTCGCCTTCACCTACTGATGCCAAGCCAATCGCAGAAGGTGCGGTTGAGAGTGCAAGAAGACAATCAACTGGGACCAAGAGAGATTCCTTACTACCACCGCTTCCAAAGACGACAAGCCCAGCAGGGGATGATTACAGTCCTTCGGAAAAGTCTTCCCAGCACGACAATGATTTCCAAACCTCCTTTAGGTCGGGTAGCATCGCAATATCAAGTTCAGGTACAAGTAGCACGTACCTCAGTGGTATACGTGACTCTGAATCTAGCATGTTGTCACAAGCCTCGACGCGTGCCACCACACCAGATCATTCCGCCTACGTTCCACGGAGTCAACCCTCCATTTCAGACTTGAGCATCTCTGGCAGTCTATCAACCCTTGCAGACGAGGTCGATGAGGGCGAATCGAAAATGCTGGAAAAGACATTTGCTCACGAACTACTCTATAACAAAGAAGGTCAGATTACTGGTGGGACTTTGCCGGCTCTGGTTGAGCGGCTCACTACCCATGATTCAACACCAGATGCCATGTTGGTTTCAACCTTCTACTTGACATTTCGATTATTTGCCACGCCTGTCGAACTTGCTACTGCCCTGGTAGATCGATTCGACTACGTTGCAGAGAGTCCACATATTGCACGCCCAGTGCGATTGAGGGTCTATAATGTATTCAAAGGCTGGCTTGAGTCTCACTGGCGCGATCTTACGGACCATGAATCTCTCACTGTCATCGAGCCCTTTGCAAAGGAGAAGCTCGGAAAATTTCTCCCTGGTGCTGGAAAACAATTGCTGGATTTGGCCAATAAAGTCACCTCAACTGAAGGCCCATTGGTCCCTCGCCTCATTTCTTCCATGGGAAAGACATCCACCTCAATTGCACAATATATTCCCGCCGACACCCCCTTACCTACTCCACACATGAGCAAGAGTTCAGTGCTGGTTTTGAAAAACTGGAAAATGGGCGGCAGCAACCCTACGATTCTCGACTTTGATCCTCTGGAGCTGGCTCGACAGCTGACGATCAAGGAGATGAACATCTTCTGTTCGATCATGCCCGAGGAGTTACTTGGCTCCGAATGGACAAAACGATCTGGGTCGAATGCGGTCAACGTAAGGGCGATGTCAACACTGTCAACCGACCTTTCTAATCTTGTGGCCGACACCATTCTTCAGTACGAAGACGCCAAGAAGCGAGCAACCATCATTAAGCATTGGATCAAGATTGCCGCCAAGTGCCTTGAGCTCAACAATTATGATTCGTTGATGGCTATCATATGCTCCCTCAACTCTTCCACCATCATTAGATTGAGGAGAACTTGGGATGTGGTATCGCAGAGGCGAAAGGATCTGCTTGATGCTCTACAAGCAACTGTCGAGCCAGACAAGAATTACGCAATTCTTCGAAAAAGACTCCATGACCACGTGCCACCATGTCTTCCCTTCGTTGGAACGTACTTGACTGATTTGACTTTTGTGGACGCTGGTAACCCTGACACAAAACAACTTCCTGGACTCGGTGGTTCTGAGGGAATGCCTGTCATCAACTTTGATAAGCACACTCGAACAGCCAAAATTATTGGCGAATTGCAACGATTCCAGATCCCTTACCGTCTGATCGAAGTAAACGATTTGCAGGAGTGGATCCAAGCTCAAATAGTCCGTGTTAAGTCGTCACCGGAACAGGAGAACGTGCAAAAGTACTATCGCAAAAGTTTACTTCTCGAGCCACGCGAGACCAAGACGAGTCCAGTTGAGGGACAGATGCCCTTTTCAATGACTGGCCACAACACCAAGTTTGATATCTTTGGATGGTCGCATTCTAAGGATCGGGAAAAGGCTATGTCTACCTCTTCCTCCCTATTTTGAAATCCGATATCTACGGATACCCCTTTACGAATACCCTCTCACGACACACCACAACACACTTCATGACGACCCACCGATTGATTTGATACCCACTTTGAATAGCGTTTTAGCGAATGATCTTTACGGGCTCGGCGAAAGCAGGCGTTACAACGGATGGCTTACCCCCGATCATGTTTGATTATAGCCTGTTTTTTTCTTTTTCTTTGTTTCTTTTTTTCTTTTTTAAACTGATTTCTGTCTTTTTTTGCTGCGACACATTCTATTGATTGATTGAATAACATTTCGCATTCGCGGCTGGCTGCTACATCGCATGAACAACCTTGCTCCACTGGACACAAGAGCAACAGGGGAATCGAGATTTGGAGAATTGGCGAATTTCCCTGGGCCATCGAATCATTGTATACACACCATTTGTTCCTATCATTGGATGGCGACAGGCCCTCGCTTTGGCTTTTGAGCATTGGCTTCCCTACGTTATTTCCCCTAGAATGGGGCGAAGGAGGAAAATACGATGGGATCATGTCTTGAGTCGGTGGGCGAACGAAATCACTGGGATTTTGAGAAGAAGTTTGGGCTCACGCCTAAAAAAACATTTTTCTTCGGCTTTCTTTTGCTTGTAAATAAAAGGCTTCCCGCGCTTCGACTTCTTCCGACCTGTTTTTCTTTTCTCTTGTACAGAAGGACGGACTGCCTAATTTTTCTTACTATGGCTTCTTTGTATCAAATTTGGCGCGGTTGTGTTTAATGGCTGGCCTTATCTTTAAATGGAGGAAAGGAAAATGAAAAAGAGGCGTATGGCATGGAATGGCAGGCATGGATGGAATTGGAATGGAGTGGGTATGGGGTATATGATACCAATTGCTTGCGCTCTGAAGGAGAAGTAAGCTGGCTAGCCTGACTTGGGGCTTGATGTGTAATGTTTGCTGTCTTTCTTTTTAGTTTTATAGAAATTAAAATGAAGACATATTATATAACATAGCTTGTGTGTTTTCATGGTGAATGTGTAGTAACTGAATTACTGGGTGTAAGGGTGAGTGCAACTGATGCCAGGATTGAATTTAAGGGTCCTTGGAATTTGTGTAAGGACTGCCTGACTGGTAAGTAAATGAGGCCTTGAATTGAGTTGCTTCACCTGTCCTGCTTGCTGTAGGCTTTCTGGGAGTACAAGAGGAGTGAGGAATCAACTCTTTCTCTTTTGTGAGAAGGTTGGGGTATATTGGCAGTTTAGTTTTGTGTTCTTTGAAGTAGAGTGTTCTACCTCCTGTACGTACGAATGTCTTGTAGTGTGGAATAGCTTCTGCTTGTCCTATCTTGTTAGAGGATATGATATCTCTCTCTGTCATGGGATCTTGATTTCTGGATGACGATATTTATCTAGCTCTTGATAAGTATCAAATTATTTGATTATTTTCTTGGATTGTGGGGTTTCTAGGGGTTAGTTGTTCTTGTGTCTGGGATTTGGGGTTCCTTTGGGATTTGAGATTTATGATGGGGGTTTGGGGGAAGAGGGTTGTGGATTGTTTGGTTCTTGGGAACTCTTGTGGTATTTCTTTTTTTGTGGTTGGTTTTTTAGGGTTGTTCTTTTATAGCTGTAACAGGCTTATACAAGCTTCTAGATTGTCACGTGAGATTGTTGAATGGTGAGCTCCCTGTTAGGTGATTGATTTCTTGGCAGATAGATGGTTGTTTGCTTTAGGGATAGAGTGTTTAGATAGTGTCTTTAAATGGTGGTTTTTTTGTCTTGATGTAGATTAGAGTATGGATTTAGTAGTATTCTTATTATTAGACGTGGATAAGGGTAGAAGGTTGGTGGATGAGGGCAGAAGGTGAGAGCTAAATAGGACTTATACTAGGCCCCTAAAGAGTGAAACGCGTTCTATGGTAAGTGAATCTCTTAGTGCGTAGTTATGTGGTAGTGAAATTCAGTGAGAGTGATTCCTGGCAACGTTCCTGCATGTAGTAGAAATCTGCCAGTTAAAGGGGCGATGTTTTCACTGTCGCTAGGATGGAAGAAAAAATCAAAAGCTCTTTTGAGAATACAACACTGCAGGAACCCACGCTAAGCGATACTTCTTAAAGTTTGTATAAAGCTTGATGTTAGTAGTGGCTTTCAAGTTTGCACAGTGAAGTGGCTTAATAGGAATCAGATATTTCCATGCTAAAACTTGTAGCCAATAAATGGTAAGTGGAGCAAAACTTATCCATAGATGTGTTCCTTTCACCATTCAGAAAATCTTAGTGAAGCTACCTCTGTAAGTCCTAAATGAAAAGACCTTGAACTCACTGTATGCGTGATGTTGAATGGTCGTCCAGCGTACTAGCTAAATATATAGTAGCGGCAACTGGGCTATAATGCTTTCAAAAGAACCTATCATTTCCTTCGAAATTTACTGTTGAACTGACAGCAACTTTCTCCACACCACTAGACATGGACACAACCAGACAATCATAGATAAATACGCACCACTACAGAAACCACAAACCTCTATATCAATACCACAGCCCAACATGTCCTTTGAGATTTCCAGGCCATCCGAGCCATCCAAATCACCTAGAAGGATTGTGCCACATAAACCACTAGCAGAAACGCATATTTTTGACGATGACGGAGACGTGACTCTGATATTCAAAAAGAAGAAGGATAAGTAGAAGACGAGGAATGATAGGTTAGTATTTTCACCACGTGTTTCTGTCTCCAGACTAACAGATCTCCAGCCATGTTGAGAAAGAAGACACAAATGATGACCAGTAAGAGGCTTCCATAAATAGCTCTTTGGGTGTACTTTGCTCATTACTTCTAGATCTCAGAATTCCGATAGTTCCCCTGATTCCGATTATGAGTATATGTCTTCAGAGTAAGTAAATCAACTGTATTGGACACCTCGTGTTCTGACAAGTCTCAGGGAATCTGGAGATGAGAGCGAAAGTGGCGAAGAGAATGATAATCACGAACGAGAATCCCCTCCCTCAAAAGACCCCCGCGAAGCCCCACCTAGGGTAGAGTTTGTAGGGATTCAGATGATCGTTTCCTTAAAGCACCTAAGACTTGCGTCTCCTGTTTTCAAAGCAAGGTTGAAGCCGGGATTTCGAGAGGGTGACGCGCTTCGTAACAACGGATACACTGAGATATACTTCCCAGATGACGATCCGGGAGCATTCTACATAGTGATGGCAATATTGCATGCCTACGCCGGCGACATTCCCTGGGATTTGGAGATCCAAGAGCTATTTGAATTGGCAATTGTGGTCGACAAATACAAGCTTCTTGAAGCTGTCGCATGATTGTCCTGGAATTGGACCACATCTTATGGAGACATGATCTTCCGTAGTAGCCTTGAGGAACACTTCGCGTTGCTCACTGCGAGCAGGCGCGCTGGGTATTTAAGGAAACCTATGTGTTCGCTGTCGCCACTACAAGCCTTCTAGCCAAGTTCCATCTGATAGTGGACGAAGACTGGTTTGAAGATCTCCCGATACCACAGAAGGTAATTAGTAAGTACCCCAAAGCTTGTTCAATATGGTCTCGGTGACAGTATGAAACGAAGTCTAACTCAAAAAGCCTCCCTCAAAGACATTCAGAGATCTGCAATCAAAAGAGTTCACGGAACAGTGGAAAACATGCCCGACTACAAAGACTACGAAGACTACGAAGAGTCTTTCCTCGATTCGCTTGATTCGCTTCCAGATCAGCAAACCTGCTTGTACGCATTGGTTCTTCTCAAAAAGTTGCTTGATGGCGCATCCAAACTCCAACTTAGACCTGTGCCCGAAAGTTACGACGAAGAGCACAGAGTCGACGGCTTGTACGAACACCACATTAAAATGCATGGTGAGTTGCGTGATCTACGGAGAGCATTTAAGGGAAATGCATGGATAAACGGAAAACCCGCACAGGAAGGGGGGCAGCTTTCTGTGTGGGATCACCGGCAATATGCTGATATAATGCGAAGAATCTTTTGGGATATTAGTGAGATGACCATTTAGTGGGATAAGAGGGGCAAAGTCTGAGGGATTGCGTATTGACGGTGAGTATTTTGATTATGGGCAGTTATACGCTATTGGGAGACTGTCTTGCTTCCCTTTGATAGCAATTCAATTTCGTCTTCCAAGAACCAAGGTCTGAATAGCGTCTTCCTATTAAACTTTGAGTTAGTTACAGTTTTTCATGTAAATGTTAATATTGTGTATTGACTCCCAGTACTTCAGAGTAATAACCCACACAATAAAGATAGAGAATTATCAGAAATATATTGTTTAGGTTTCTGAATCAGTTCCACGGTCAGTAAACTCAGTAAACACAATAGGTATCCCCTTCTTTCATGTCTACTAGAAACTTAAATCTTTCGCAACTTTACTTATCCAAGTATACATTCAACAGGGAAATAGGATTAGGATCTTGATGATTTGTCTTGTGTGGTTCAAAATCCCAGATTCTGTAACTAAAATCAGCTTTTGTTAATTTCGTAGTAAATTACAGTAAACTAGCTTAGTTTGTACCTTATGGTCTATGAGTATGCCACAGGAGGCTAACATCATAGTTTTATTAAGCTAATATTTTTATACCTAAGATTAGACCACTGGTTGATGTGAGTATTTCGTTTGTCCGAATGATGTAGAAAGTCAAAAGTAGGGTAGAAAGAAGGTAATCCCCTATGGGAAATCGAGGCCAGATGTGTACAAAAATATCTGACACCCGCCGCGGGCTGTCCCGGGGCACAAAACTATCCCTAGCGCGTATATTTTCGTATACTAACAGTAGTCGCAAAACCTTAATATTATACTAAAGACGTAGTTCTCTATTTACTTGTTTACGCGTTTATATATTTACTCGTTTACTTATTTACAGGAAAGGGGGGGGGCGGTAATAGGGGTATAATAGAAGTAGAGACTTATAGGATAGTAAAGTAGGAAAGTACTTATAAGGAGGGACAGAGGAGAAGGGACAAGGGGGGAGAGACAGAGGGGGAGGGACAGGTAGAAATAGCTAAGTACTTACAGGTAGGGAGGGAGAGGGAGAAGGACAGGTGAAAACGACTTAGTACTTATAGGTGGTTTATAGAGGTAAAGGGAGGGGGAAAGGCCCTCTGATATAGACAGATAGCTGACGGAAAGCTCGGGTTACGCTAAAACTCTCTTAAAAGCTAATTATAGGCTATGTTGGTTCCTAAAAGTATAACATTTTCTTCTAAAATGCCCTCTGTTTTCGCTTAGCAGGGGATAATAAAGTATAAAATCCCAAAAGTGGAGACGCCTACTTTATAGTACTCAAATCTCTACTTTTAACTACCTAATTAGGCCTGTGTACGGAATTTTCGTACGTGTACAAGAATCTCTGCCACCGAGTTCCCAGAGGGGTGGCTTCCCCCTTAGCTGATAAGATCCCCCGCGCAAGCTTGGATACGCTCCTTCGTTTCATGACAATAGCTTGGGTTTTTCATGAGACCTATGCGTTTGCAGCTGTTACTGCTCAATTCATGGTGAAATCATGCGCGGTAATACAGGAGAATCATTTTGGGGACTTACCAGTACCGCAAAAGATTATTGGTGAAAACTTTGAGGCCCCAATTCCAGGGAACGGTGATTGACATCATTCCAGCTACCCTCAAAATACTCCAAATATATGCCATCGAAGATGTGTACGGGACAGCCGAGAATATGCTACAGTATCAAGAGCCCAAGTATGAGTGTACCAAAGTTTAGGCACCAGGAAAGATCATACCCAGAAACCCGCAGTCTTAGCACGATAAATTACGAGCTACAAATCATCCTTGTACCGCTAGAGAATGCCGAGAAGCTGGGACTTGTTCGAGCATCGAAACGCGCGCATCATTTTTGCAATTTGGTTATTGCCCAATGCAAAAACTTGGTTGGCGGATACAAAAATACCGTGTACGCAAATCATTCTGAATACAATGACGATCAGGAAACAACGATAACCAAGAACTTTGGCCAAGTTGGCGGACCTCTCAATAGACGTCTAGACCACTTGGAAGTGGCCATGTAAGTAACGGGAGACTTCTTCCTATAATTTTTACCTTTTGTTTCCGAAACTGACTATACTTCAATCTCTTTGAGATATTATATTGCACCTCAAAGAGTAAAGCACCTGAATGACATGGCTGACACAGCGACCTAGGGCCAGAACCGTAGGTCACGAAAGGTGGGAATTTGAAGAAACAATTTATATTCCACAAAATGTTTCTATTGAGATATTTGTAATGGGATATACGGAAAGATTTGGGAAGCGAATCTCATGGCCTTCAGATGTTGTTTGGTAGGTTCTAGAGTCGGTCATTCTTCTCAACTTAATATTCCACATTCTAAAAAGCAATCGGACGTCATAGTTTTGGACGGTAATTTCCCATGTAACAAATTATTTCATACTTCTCAACAATTGCAGAGCCATTAGTGTGATGATCCACATCCACCCCAGCATAACAGCATTCCCTCTAGATAAATAACGTCATACGAAGCGTGGTTTCAAATTTCCAGAAAACAGGTTTCTAGCCACTCCCCTCTAGCCTAATAAATAGAATTATACTACTAGCAGCCTCCAATGTTGAAGGACATCATACTAGATGGCACGAATGGTACGTGAGTGACACACAAAACAAGATTATTGCTAGCCGAGATTAGGCGAACCAACCCAACAAGTCTGTTCTAGCCTCTGCGACATACATCTCAACTAGGTGCAAGTGAGTTGTTTAGCAAATCCCTGATATATAATTGCCTAATTTTAAGACAATTTAGAGAGGACTTGTGGCTCAAGTCTCTGACCGCAATTCTTTTGGATAAACAGAAGTAAAAAGAAATGACACTGATACTTTTCAACAACGGAGATTACTCAACGCTTTACCCTTAATGATTTGGCGGAACATCGGCGGCAAATGAGATAACTTGACAAGAAATCGTGTTTAAGTGTGACAGTTTTTGATTTAGTGAATAAGGGTTCGCTTAGCGAAGTTGCGGGTGTACCCTTCCGTAGATAGACAAATACCTGAGGAGTGCGAAGAGCGTCTCTCTTCCCTCCTTGCGAACAATCTATTCCTTGATCCCCACCATAACATTTAGCAGATAATACGGCCATCAATACTCGCAATTCAATGTTGATACCTTCTGCTCCATCCTCTTCTATAACAGCTACACCGAGACCGGAGCTCCCTATTCCTCTACCAGGTAACTTCTGCCATCGCTCATACCCAACAAACAGCCACAAATCTCCCCAGACTGATGTATCTAGGCAAGGGATGCCTCAAAAACAAGCCACCCCGTTTCAAGTGCACGATTATGCGATAGTGAATTAGCTTCTTGTGATCAAATATTGCTGAGTCCAAGCTAGACGGTGATTGGCGCAGATCCTCAGGGGGGCTATAAAATTGCACAATAGCCTCTTGACTTCGCAAAACTTTTCACAAAAATATCGACAACATCAAGTCAAGATACAAACATTCAAAATGTCTTCCACGAAATTCATTTCGCTCCTCTCCCTCCTTACAGTCTTCCTTCTCAATCCCTTCGCCTCAGCATCATCACTACTCCGCCGCGACTTTACGCCAGGCTCCGGAGGTCTCGTCGCATGGAAGGATGGCATTGAAGTGGGCTGTATTGATTCAAGTTGGAAGTTGGTAGCTGGTCCTGAAGGATGCGGAGTTTTCACCGTTACCGACCGACCTAACCACCCTCGATACTACAGTATCACCAGCGAAAAGGGATCCTGTGGATACCAGTACCAATTTTGAGTAGTCTCTTGTGCTAGGTGTGAGCTCTGTTTTCTCAAGGAGTACTGACGTGTCTCCTCAAGTGTTGTCCCTCAACCCGAATCCCACATCTTTTTGTTGGCCTGCGGAATTCAACCTGGAGGGTAAGATGGATTCTACGACTCGGAGTTGCAAGTGAGTATAATGCTCTGGGTGGACTGCTACTGTTGCTATGCAAAGAAGACTTAAATTACTATTGTCTGATGTAGTTCTGGACCGATCCCAATCTCAACCAGACCATATTGCGGGTGGCATTAGCCAGAAACTACATCACGGTTGGCGAACGTTTTCCGACGGGAACCGAGGCCCTGAATGTTACCACTGATGGATCCCTCTTGCCAAGTAGATTTGAACTTGTATGGAAGCCGTCAGTCTGAGATGCGCGATGAATTGGTGGTCCACGAGTACTTTGTCGATACAGCCAGTGTATATCGATACCTACACGATGGTCCGCTTCATAGGAATCTGGTGGGGAAGTGTTTACATTCGGGTTAGCTTTGCCGATGGTATTCTTTGCAGCGTACTCGCTTGAATTAGGCACCTATAATTGAGAGAAGATTTCCCGAGAAAAGTACATGATTCTCCAGTAGGCGAGAGCCGGTGATGATTACATACCACAAAGGAAAAACACCCATATTTGCAACCGTTGTTACGTTGCAGCGATTATGGACAGTCGTAGAACCGTTGTGATGTCTCGAGTTAACATGCGTGACTTTCTGTTTTTGATTTTGCGATTTCATAATTGAACGATGGGCTTTAAGAACAAGCTGTTTATCTAAGAATGTCTATATTGCAAAGGCAAAAATGAAGCTATCGCGACATGAAGAAACAAATCGCGTACTTATCTGAATCTACCTAGGTATGTTGTCGCTCAGGTCTAGCTGTCTCTTTATTGGTAGTTCCTGGCCCCCCCTCTTCCCTTGGCTACAGTGGTATGTAGATGAAAACAATAATCACATAGATAATTGAGTACTGCATATAGCACCCTGATTTATCGTCACTCTTGTCCCCTTCTTGCTGCATTATTATTGGTCTACTACAACCTGAAATCTACGTGCAGAGTTCACATTGCCTTTGATATAAACGTTGAAATAGACGTAATTTCTACCTAGGTAAGGCCAAAGGTGAATACAACAAACTCAAACATCAAACCATACATATGTCAACTCGCTACAGATTAAGACGGTACTCGAGTACTAGGTACGGAGTAATACGGTTATAAAGGTTTCCAATAGTTGTGATTTCCTATAACGGATATAATAGAAGGGTTTCAGTGAGGTATGGGTGTGGGTGCCTGCAGGTGGTCATGACTGTCTTCAGGCAGATGCGTACGGTGTCAGGTGGATGAGGTGTGGATTCGCAGAGGTTGAGACATGCCAGAGCTCACCCGCGCTGTGGGAGGCGGGGTCGAGGTCAATTCAAGTTCAAGGTCTAAGTGTAGGTAGGGAAGTGGCGACCTCAGATAGGAGCGAGTGCGAGTGTGCATTCAAGGTGGGTGGGTGATGGCTGGAGCTTGGTCGACGAGTAGGTACCTATGAGGAAGAGAGAGGTCGCTCATTCCGTGACACTCTTGTCTCGCCCAACCTGCCGTCCCGGCCGGCCTCATTGCGCAACGTACCTACCTACGTACCTACCTACGTACCCACGTCGAGGTCGAGTGGCTTGAATTCCAAGTTTTGTTGGAATCAAGAAAGGATGGAAGGCACGACTCCTTTACCAGTAAACCCACGGACCCTCTACCCTTGAGTACCTAGGTATAAACCCCCCCCCCTCGCCGTCGCTCTCCCTGTCCACATTTACACTTTTTTACACTTTTTCACATTTGAGATTGAATCACGGGAGAGGGGGGTGAAGGACGGCTGCTTTTGCTTTGATGCAGTTGATTGCAGGCGGCCACTTTTAGCTTCCTGTCGGGCTGAATACCTACCTAGGTACCTAGGTAGTAGGTACAAGTATTGCACAGCTTAAATAAGGTTATCGCGATGTTCAGACGCAAGTTATCCCACTTTTTAGTCCTCAATTGAGCCTAGACCGAGCGATATAAGCCTTCGTGTTCTACTTCGTAGATAGACTCCTCGTATTTGTATTTGCATTAGAAACCGCCCTTGCGTTCTCTTTATTGAATACCTAGGTACTAACTCGTCACTAAAATACGCCTGCCAAACCTGTCAATAAATTATGAACCAAATTATCCACACACTAATAAACTATATCACTATTACTAAAAACCGCTGGCAAAATCACCCTATTCGAGTCCATCTCTTCATCAGATCCCTACCTCGGTATCTACCCGCTGAGTATTGCCGTTGTAGAAGTACTTACCTATAATACAAAAGAAAACACTACTCGTATATTGGTAATGGTATATCGTACCGATTCTGTACACCCCTTTCTCGCCATTTTTACACCATTCCTCTTATGGTATTGATGGTCAATTGCCACCTTAAATTCACAAACATTGCACTCTCTTCTTTTACTGTAAAACCTACACATGTTTGGTTTCGTGGGTTTATCGTAGGTACAGAACAGACAGATATTTTGCTATTTTATATCGCATATCGACCTCGATTGTAATTATCATTTTCAACCTCATTGTTGACTTATGTATTAAAATTCAAGATACATTATACCTCCGCAACCCGAGGACTTTATATGATTGTCGAAATAAGCTCAACTCCCAAGACTATGTGGATACGACGAAGTCGAGAGGATGATTCATCTCGAAAACCCAGACAACGCGTGATACCCAATTCCAAACCATTCAAGTAACAGGAAACATCCATAGCCAATATCATGCACCTTCTCGAGCCACCCGTTCATAAGCGATAGCGTCATCGAAAACTTCGGAGGAGGCGATTACACGTGTTGGAACACCGGGTCGGTGCAAGGGCGGTAAACAATTCCTATGGCTGGATCTGGTCCAATTCCCCTGTTGCAAGCGAATTCCTATTCGAAAATCAGCAAGAGCACGAGTATATTTTGCATCCAAGCTAGTGTGTAACTTACATATGTTGAATCGTAAGCTGTGCACATCCCAAACCATGGGTTCTCTGGCTTATAGCTGATTTGGTATGGTGCTCCCGGTGGGCACTCGTTTGCACGTGCTTCAACAGCTGCTGGAGCAGCATGTGTGAGCCCAATGAAGAGGAGGGCAGTAATAGCGAGTTTGGAGAACATTGTGGAGTTTCGTGGAAGTTGAGAATTGGTGAAAAATCTGGAGGTAGTTGAAGGCCAAGTGAATGGATTGAATGCGGGGTAAGTAGAAAGAGGTTGAGTGTGTTCTACTTGTGGGAGACCGGTACTTATGTTCATGTCGCTAGCAATCATTCCGGCTTGGAAACCCGATGCGAGTAATTTGAAGCTGCTTTGGCCGCTTCCTAGTATACATCCACTTGAATAGAAAAATTCAATTGGCTTAGAATGCTATTTCCTGGGTTGAACCTCTCCTTACCTATACAACAAGGAAGTAGAGACAGAAGCTTGTCCAACTTCCTCGGACCCCTTTGTTTACGGACCTTCTTGAATCAGTAAGTCCGAATGCTTATGTATTTTCATCCTTGTTCATACTTCGTTCGTAATCACGGCACTCATTTCGCTTATTTTAAAGGGGAAGGTAGACTGGGGCAATGCCTTGGCAGGAGAAGTGGGGAACTATGGAAATGCGCGGCAATGGTGTACTTCAGTGATATGCACAGTGCGGAGGGCTTCAACTGCTCTAACCCTATGGGATTGAATGAGATCTTGGGCGCTTTTTATTCTTGCATATATCAAGGATATGCGGCAATTGTAAATAGAAATGGAAGTAATTAAACAAACACCTTAGGAAATAATGATGGAGTCAAAATCGGGTCAAGAATAGGAGTTGTATTGTAGGGTATGAAGCTATCTACAGTATATGTAGATAAGTGGATACAGGGGGTGGATCTAAAATCACATGTGAGAATTCCGGTATTCACTACCTTCCACGATACCATAATACCCAAGATAATAACTTACTTGGCGGGGACCGAGCTCATGCCGAGTGTATGGAGGTTTACTGTAGCAACCCCACGCCAAGTAACCAATTGGCGAGCGCCCTTCGCTTGTGCTCAATAACGTCCTGATCAAACAACAGGAAGCCTGGTTCTATTAGGATATGTTGTTGTCTCAGTGGTAGTTGTAGATATTGTTCTTATCCGCCGATTACGCTCAAGTATAGTATGTAGCATCAACAAACGTTGGACTTTCAAAAGAGACTTAATCGATTAATTAGCAAGAAACAAAGCTTACACGACCTCGTTGAGCCTCCTCTGGAATGAGAGGTCATCTCTCTTTCATCCCTTATTTCCCCGACCATGGATTTAAATTAAGTTAGACTAATTTGGCCCCCAAAAGGTTCATCTCAGCTCCTTCGATCCCATGCTTTTTTCTTCCCGTTTTCCGTCTCTAGTACTCCGTGTTTGCCCATCCGATCAGTCTCACTCGCTTAAGATTTATCTGTGCTGTCCAACGAAACGGCTGCTTAACTTCCAGTGCTCAGGCGCGTTTAGTTTTTCACAGAGAGAACCATAGGCGTGGAAGTGAGGCGAGTACTTTTGCCATTATCATCGTCTAATTAAGCTTGATAGCATTGAATCAATGGAAGCAAAGCTTTGTCGGTTGTTTGGTACTTTCACGCACAGGTGCGTTCTTTTCAAGGGACGAAAGAGCTTGGGGGTTTGTTTCAGGATACAATTGTGAGAGTATATTGTTTTGTAAAACCAAATCTAAACCATGAAGATTACTATGCAATTTAGGGCATGTTTGGCTACGCAAATCTCTCTATACAAATTAGGTACAAAAGTCGAAGATTTGCATAGGCTAGAGGACCCTAAGGGCTCATACAAAAGTTTCCTAAATTGTATGTAAATTAGATTATTCTCACGAAACAAATACACCACCGTTTAGCTAGTGCAAAAGTTTTTTATTATAGGTACAAATCTTATATATCTGTAACCCCCGCCCATCCCTTATAGTATTACCCCTATAGTCCTATAGTATCCCTCCTACAATTTCACTATACCCCCCTCTCCCTAGGCGCTCTTTTTGCTCCTACGCTTTGCAACTATAAATTAGCCTAGTATTACTATCTATTAGAATAAGAGATAGTATATAAGTATAGTATAGGGGGAAGGGGGATAGTATGGTAGGACAGTATAGGGGGATAGTATAGGGGGAAGGGGGATAGTATAGGGGGACAGAATAAAAGGACTTAAAGATTTGCACGGAGATTTATACAAATTAAAAAGAACTAAAGGGTTAAGGCTTTAGTTCTTTTACAAAGTTTTTTTAGTAGTATTGTGAGAGGCCAGACCTCGAATAGCTCAAAGGTGTGGTTTCGAATATTCAATTAAGAAGTGCGTGAAGACTACATACATGCGAGCTCTTCCTCTATATATAGAGAGAAAGAGCTTCCTAAAAATATTCCAAGAAACTTGCAAGAAATTTGAATGACGAACACATGATGTCAGAAGAACAAAACAAGAAAGTGTGGAAAAGTAGAAACCTGTTTGGCAGTGGGGTAATGGCCAGTGCTAAGCAGGGACTTTGGTCAGTGCTTAACGAGGACTTTGGTCAGTGCTTAGCGAGGGCATGGCCCGAGCCTCCATCATGGGTTCCAACCCTCATAAGTATAAATCTAAAAAGATTTATAATTAGATTTATAATAGATTTATAACTATTTTAGTAAAAACTTTTACGGCTATCTAAATAAGCGTATAAATTAAGAATTGTATATAAATCTTAATTAAAAACATATATATACAAATCTTTTTATATAAGTTAGTGTAAATCTCTAAATTATACAAGCCAAACACCCCCTTGGGGCATAAAGATTGCTATTCAGTTGGCGTCACTTTGTCTAAGGGGGTGTTTGGCTACGCAAATCTCTCTATGCAAAATAGGTGCAAAAGTCTAATATTTGCACGGGCTGGAGGACCCTAAGGGCTCATGTAAAAGTTTCCTGAATTGTATGTAAATTAGACTATTCTCACAAAATAAATGTACTACCGTTTGGCTAGTGCAAAAGTTTTTTATTTTAGGTGCAAATTTTATATATATCTGTACCCCCCGTCCACCCCCGCCCATCCCCTCTATGGTGTTACCCCTATAGTCCTATAATATCCCTCCTACAGTTTCCCCATACCCCCCCTTCCCTAGGCGCTCTTTTTGCTCCTACGCTTTACGGCTATAAATTAGCCGAGTGTTACTTTCTGTTAGAATAGGGGAACAGTATAGGGGGCAGTATAAGGGATAGTATAAGGGATAGTATAAGGGACAGTATAAGGAACAGTATAGGGGGCAGTATAAGGGACAGTATAAGGGGCAGTATAAGGGACAGTATAAGGAACAGTATAGGGGGCAGTATAAGGGACAGTATAAGGGGGCAGTATAAGGGACAGTATAAGGGACAGTATAAGAGAATAGAAAGATTTACACGAAGATTTATACAAATTAAAAAGAACTAAAGGGTTAAGGCTTCAGTTCTTTTTATAAGTTTTTTTAGTAGTACAAATCTAAAAATACTTATAATTATTTTAGTAAAAACTTATACAGCTATCTAAACAAGCGTACAAATTAAGAATTATATACAAATCTTAATTAAAAATATATACATACAAATCTTTTTATATAATACAAATCTCTAAATTACACGAGCCAAACACCCCCTAAAGAACTTAATAGTTTCATAACGTAAATTTTCGTTGTTTCTTTTTAGATGGTTTTGGACTCATTGAAGAATATGAGATTGTTTCTGGCATGCCCGCAATATCCTTCAACACTGGCGTAGATCCTTTGATCATCACTCTCCAAAATAAAACATATGGCCCCTTCCAACCAAGGTTTGCTATCGAAGAATAGCAACCACAATACTAATATGAGAAGATGAACTGGAACGGGATTATTCTACCTCTCAATGAGTGAGTTTTTCAGATATAGGAATATAATGTTGCACAACCTCTACGGAGCCGGTAAAATGACCGTACTTCCTTTCATGAAAATGCTTCCTTTCAGCAACCTTGTAGCGCTACACAAAAACGATAACAAGAAAATGTCTAAGAACTACTACAACAATAATTAAATCAGTCTTGAGTTGGCTAGTCTTTATCATGTATATTTATAATCTGTGTTTTAGTACAAGGTATGCAAATTAGAAATACGGTCGTTTTTCCGACCCGTAAAGACAACCTCAAAGTTGGACTATTGAAAGCTTAACTTTCACAAAAATAGCATTGTTAAGACGACAACGACTCTTAAAAAATTACTAAAAAAGCTACATGGTCACTCATAATTCGTAAATCAGGACCAGACCCGTAATTCATCTCTTACTAATTTTCGCTTGAAATACCAGCTGATAAAAGTGGGGCATGATGATGGCCACTTCAATTGACCCCGCATTCTCGCCCGACCTCAAGCAAAGTCCAGATACCTTATGAGCTGACACAACAACCCTAAAAATGGAGGATCAGGTCGATAAACTCGTTGAAAAGACATGGGGTAAAGTTTCTTCTGCAACCGCGTGAATTTCAGGAAAGGGGTCTAAAAATAACCACAGCTAGATACCAAGCTACCCCGCCCTCCAAACGTCTTCTCATAGCAATCTCTGGGATTCCAGGCTCTGGTACATAACCAACTCCCTGTCTGTTTTCATTTTATCCTACCCTTTCTTCTAACGCCCACCAAAGGTAAAACTACGCTGGCGACAGCTGTAGCTGCACGAATTAACTCTCGAAATGCGGCACTCTTTGGAAAGACAACCATGCCACCGCCAGCCGCATTTATCCCGATGGATGGATACCACTTCTCCAGAAAGGAGCTAGATGCTATGCCTGATCCCAAACTAGCCCACGATAGACGAGGAGCGGCTTTTACTTTTGATGGAAGAGCTTGTAGGTGTTTTGTGTCACATGATTTCTTTATCTTATACTGTATCGATGAACTGGAGCAATTTCTCTCTCACCTACACATAAAATCCTCGAACGTTCCCGGGGAAGTTTTCAGATTCTAACACTCTCCAAGTCTTAAGTCTAGTAAAAACTATTTGTGAACCACTAGAACCATCTACCCGAACTCTCTACGCTCCATCCTTTTCCCACGCACTCAAGGATCCAGTCTATGATGACATACCCATTCCACCAACAGCAAGAGTAATTATATTCGAGGGCAATTATCTTTCTTTAAATACGCCCCCCTGGTCTGATGCTGCAAAATTAATGGATGAACTTTGGTATGCTGAAGCCTGGTGGAATCTCGGTTCTCCCTCAATGCCTTCGCATCGCATTAAATCTAAGAAAAGACCTCTGACAATCACTTAGGTTTGTGGATGTACCCTTCGAAACTGCTGGTCAACGACTAGTACCACGCCACGTCAAAGCTGGCATTGTCGCAAATGAAGAACTGGCATGGAAAAGGGTACGAGAAAATGACCTCGTCAATGGACAAGAGATTGTGGATGGGAGATTGGAAGTGCATGAAATGATTCAAAGCAAAGAGGATTTGGAATGGAAACCGGTGGATTAGAAGTGATGAAGATGTCAATTGGGATGTCGAGTTCTGCAGCGAACCTCTGAGTACTTTATACTCTAGCTTTCACTCGGGGCACCCCTTATTGCAACTAATGACGTGCTGGAAGACCACAAAAACATATTGCTTTATCCTCGTACGTCTTTCTTGCAGACTCTTTTGTAGAATTGTTCCAATTATCCCTTGGCTCTTCTTCACTGATACCTGCCCAAACCTTTTCAATTTTGTCAACAGCTCCCTTACCTAACCGTCCTCTTTGGGGAGTTTCAAGAGAATTCTCTAACTGAACAACAACTTTGCCTCCAAGGATAACCCCATCTCCTCCCTCCTCGTTCAAAAAGGAATGATAAGCAATCCATGGATGTGCCAACTCTGCATTACTTATTCCTTCATCCTTAGCAACCTCGTTCCAAGCCCTCAAACCTTCAAGCAAAGAAGGTTTGATGCACACTTTGCTTGAAGGCTTGATGCACAGAGTATCGTAAACACTCTTCGTGGAGCCATCGCTTACAGATCTCCCTGGTGACCCTTTCCGTGGCTCATTTGTAAAGAATTCGACATCTCTGATGAAAAACCCGCCCGCGGTGGGAGAGTAAGCGAAAAATGAAAACCCTAATGTACGTAGGAGGGGAAAGAGATCTTCTTCTGATTTGCCAGCGAATGCGTTGTAGTTGGCCAGGTATATGGAGGGGAGAACAGAATTTTGTGATTTCTGGATCTCGTACTCAAGTAGATCTTTTGCACCTCATCGGGAAGAGAGGCGAGCATTGCTCTATATACGCTATCAAAAGTCATTATACCAAAGGTCTAGTACAAGTAAATTAATTCTCTCATATCACCTAGGTCAGTAAGGAGTGAAAAGAATCAATTACTTTAAACTATTCTTCGAATTGATTTATTCATTTAAATGTGTGAGGTCTTTAGGATAATACTTATTTTTATAACTCGGGTGTATACAGAGTAATACCCGCCTCTCTTACTGTAGATCGAGAGACCGAAAAGTTTGTCTTATCTGACAGCGTCAAGGATCCAAATCCCCTCGAGTGTTTCCTTGATTGAAACGTTTGGGGACGGAGCACGAAGAGAATAGACGACCACCAGTTGACAGATCGTTTGTAAGTGTTTGTGCTCTACCCCTACCTTGGTGGTTTGTTTGAGGGGTGGGCGTTGACGCATACGTTATTTACATCAGGTGTCTTTAGACTATTGTCCCTACCATCCAGAATGAAATTCTTGTCATAGCTCCGGGGGAAAGAGCCGGCACTTTGGTCTGGATCGTGAAGTCTTTGGCGGCTTCCAGCTTGCCAATCATAAATTCGCTTCCTTCTGCATAACAACAGTTATTATTCAATCCAATAAAAGGCAGCCTCATACATAGCGATTGACAGTAGCAATTGTGTCAATCTGGAAATTTCTCAGCACATGGAATTGCTGACTAGCAAGATCTTCGGATAAGAGACCAAAGCCCGCACCGCCGTAGACAGCTTTAGCTCCGGGTTTTGTCATCTTTGCGGAAGTGGGCAGAAGATGTGTTGTTTCGCAAACCGGCGGAAGAAATGCTAATCCAAAGTATTGCAAACCAGGTAGAAGTCAAGAGCAGGTATGAAGTTATATAAAACCTGCGGTCTTGGTGTGTATTCTATCAACTTAGCGGTGAATGAGTGACGGATTTAGGACTTTCGAAGCTTAAGGACTTGTAAGTTGAGTTCATGTGGACTGAAAGATCTTTACAATAGTACAGTGACAATAATCGATGAATTCTGAAGTCTGAAAGTTGAATTCGTGTTTACATCAAGACCAACGTTTGGCAACTAGAATTCCATTCGGTCCCAGAGGCTTCCTCTGGAAGGATTCTATTCCAGAGGTATATATCCTATGGAATATATGGAATTTCTAGCTGGAATTTGGCACATGACCCGGAAAAATGTACTCCAGCTCTGTCGACCAATAGGAAGTCTCCAGGGCCCTATTTATATTAAACACTCAGATAACAAGTCATATTACGTGAATGTCCCCCTAAATGTCTACATAGGGTACGAGTATCGTAAATACGTCTAGAGTTAATTATAAAAAAACGTATTAGGTACTATTATATCTTCCTAGCTATTTCCTTAACTCTCTAGGGCTATATAGCTCCTATAATCACGTGTTTAAATAGTCTGGAATTTCATGGAATTTTCAGAGCCTACTAACGGAAGGAATCTTTCTATTTTATATAAGCTCTGGAAGAATTCCAAGTGGAATAGAATAGAATAATTCTGTTGAATATGGTTCCATGTGCCGAACGTTGATCAAAACCAAGGGTGAACCAAAGTTGCGCTTGTTTATGGCAAACCCCTATGAAGTATTTTTCTGGTGGCAGCATTTGAACCAGGGGTGAGGAGAGTATCTCCTCGACGGTTCGGCGTAAACTCTGACCAGGAATAAGCAGCATCACGTAGAATTATTTAACGCATAATTTCAGGTCAACTCTGACACCTTGGCAATGCTAAGCTGTCAAATCGGACTGTATTTTGGTATACCGTGGTAAATGGTCCTTAACAAAAATAGGTAGACCGGGTAGGGGGGGCTTTGAACGCTCATATCATACGCTCCGAGCCACTTAGAGACTACGTCGATTAAGTCTCGGCTTATCGATTTTAGTAGTAATCTAGGTCTATGTTAAATTTAGGCAACTAAGTACTTTTAAAACGATTAATAATCTATATCTATAGGCACTCTAAGTAGTTTAGAGCGTACAATATAAGCGTTCAAAGCCCTACTACCCGACCTACCTATATTTGTTAAGGACGATTTACTATAATAGAAGTAATAGTTATATAACTAGAACGTAACTTACTATACTTTTATAAGATATAAATTAAAGGGGGTAGATAGTTAATACTAGATATTATTACGTAGATTATATATTAAAAAAGTTTATATCGCCTAGATATAAGTCTTTGATTTGCTAGTTTAGCTAAAAGGCGGGGCCGAGACGTATAGTACTATAATTAGCGATAGTGTCTAGCTTTAACTTTCTACCCCCCTTATATTAGAGCAAAGTCTATATAGTATTCCTTATATAGTTAACGATTGTAAACTGATTTTTAATTAGAAATTAGTAAGTACCCTGCCTTTAGCTATTGTTTATATTATCTCCTCGACGCCTCGTATATATATTTCAAATTTTAGGTTTAAGATTTCCTATTCAGGCGGTCGGTTAGGTCGGAATATTACTTAGGCGAGCTACGGGCCTTGGTCTGACATTCTCCGCGCCAATTAAGGAGTGCTATTATCAGGTACCAAGACTAAAAGTGGATGCCTTAAACCTAAAATTTGAAATGTACATACGGGGCGTCGAGAAGATAAAGAATTTTAGGTTACTGTAACGAATACTCAAACTGGCTAACTAAACTTGGCTGGGTGTTCGCTGGTTGGTATGCTATGATAAGAAGAAGACTATCGGGTTGTTCACTTGGAAGTGAACTCGTTACTTGTATCAAAGATGTCAAACAAATATGATAAGATTGATAACTAAGTTGAGCACGAAGCTCCTATCTAATGGCAGACGTGCCAGTCTTATATAGAACCTTCATCCTCAAGTACTATGATCTGGGTAGCCAACTCGCCTGTCGAGCTGGCGGTCCGTTTCGCTAGGTCGCCGAGCGATCCAGCGATCCAACTTAATCATGTGACCATAACCAATGGAAATCCCTGGATCGCTTAGCTACCCTAAGCGATCCCTATTTGCTATAAGAAACCTGGGTATGCCTGTCGAGGGTTGCGCCTCTTATTATGACAAGTATCACGTGAGCACGTGATTCGTGACAGTTACATTAGACTATCTACCCTAAATGCGGAACGAATATAGGTAGGTATAATAGAATCATACAGCTTTTGTGCTATAGCTAGGCGATTTCTAGTAATTTATATAAAAGAAATTAGCTAAACTTAGTAAAAATAACATAAAATAAGTAGTGGTATCTACGTAAAAACCCTACCTATATTCGTTCGGCATTTAGGGTAGATAGTCCGATATTTCCGCCCTCTTTACTTCGCAAGAGGTCGCAAATCTAAGTAAAACACTTCTACAAGGCTCTAATAGTCAGTGCGTCTTCCTACTGCGCTCAGTCGCTTGTAGTCAGCGGAAGCAAGTACAACGCGGAAGCAAGTACAACGCGGAAGCAAGTGCAACGTTTAGCACACACATACCGCTCTTAACTACAATATAGCGCCCCATTCACCTTTCGGAAAGACATATAAATTATATAGATTTATAGGTATAATTAATTATTATCCTATACGAGAAGAGTACGTTTTTTTAATATAAATTACGTACGATGCGGACGAGTTTTCGTGTTCCTGTACTTAATTGATTTTGGTAGGGTGCGCACGTGTTGTGACTTCTTGTGTGCGCACTCCTAGCCCGACATATGCCCGAGTACGTCCTCGAGTACTTTCCTTTCTTATCTATTATATTATAACACGCTATAGTCGTATCTAGCTTATACTTTAGCATATTATTAAGCTGATAAAGGGCTTTCTTTTGAGCCTATATAGAAGCTTGTATGTCTAAAAACAACTATAATATAATAACCCTAACCCCTTGCGTTGCACTTGCTTCCGCGTTGCACTTGCTTCCGCTGACTACAAGCGACTGAGCGCAGTAGGAAGACGCACTGACTATTATGCTTTTTCCTTTGCTAAGATGGCACGCCCTTGACCCACTTTCAATTTACGCCGAACCGTCGAGGAGAGATATATATAGATATCTTTTCCTTCTCTACGAACCTCACTTATTAACTCAGTCACTCCTCTCTTCTATTTACCACTCTCTCTTATCCTTCAACAATCAATCCCCCGAAGACATACCTCGCTTAATCGCAAGCCCTAAGGACAAGATACCAACAAGATGCAATTCCAAAGCCTCATCGTCATTGCTGCCCTAGCTACTGGTGTCTACGGCCAGATGAAGGAAGCTGGTGTCTCGACAATGGTCTCATTGGCGTGGCCAACCACGATGCAACTTCAGGAACATGTAACATGATCATGAACTCCGGCAGTTGTAGTGATTGCAAATTATCCACTTTGCCCGACGGCTTGTTAATCTGCATA